GGCGGATGAACAATCAGTTGTACTTAAAAGATTGGCACTCGATCTTCATTTCCCATAAAGAAAGCAAACAACCCAAACTTAGAACATATATCATGATAACAAGAAGCAAAAGATTTAAAAACAATAATATTAACATGATTGATCTACAGAACCACACGTGCAATTTTAAAACAAGATCCTGAGGGAAAGATATAATATTAATGGACCATATACCCTTTACCCTGAACCTGCCACAAGTTGATGATGCCATCCAGAGCACTGCAAAACATTAACGTACAGGGAGAAGTATTAGGTTTTGAAGCAATAATGGAACATAATAAGATGAGAGAGAGAGAGAGAGTACTAAAGGACTGGAAAACTAAAACAAAATTTTTAACACAAATTAAAGTTCCATGCATCTTATGATTTCTAAATCTGAAAAGATCCTATCCTTTATGATATGTCGTTAGCTGCATCATACGGGGAAACATGACCCTATATAAATCTATTGTTAGATTGCCACCATGCAAGTTCACCACTCTTCTTTTATCTCTAGAAAGCTTTAACATTGAGTTACAAATGTTTGCCTCATATTTTACATTTTAACTCATATTAGAAATCTTAAAATAATTTGATTGAAATGCTTGCCTCATATCAGAAATCTAAAATAAAATTATAGCAACATTTGTACCATACAATTACTCTATTACTATCTAAGCAAGTATATGCTATAGATCAAGAAAAAGTTTCAGATTCCAAATCCTCATAATACTAAAAAACTATGTTGTTAAGGGAAATATGGCATTTTAAAGCCCTAAAATATGTAAGAACCTACATCCATGTGGCACTGATAGTCCCACATAATTGGAAAAAAATTATCAAAAGATTAGAGATCTATATAGATTGCATTCTTTCAAAGAGTTTTAGAAAAGTATTACTATAAAGTTTACAGAAAGGAATTGTAATAAAAAGGTAAGCATGAAAAGCAGGAAACTTGTTAAAAGTATCTTTTGAAAGAGCTGTTTAGAATAAAAGCAAACAAAACTGAATATAGGTCTTCTTGAAGAATATAAATCTGCGAGTTTTATCAGGCTCTTTAAAAGGAATGACATGATATCTTGACTCCAGAACCAGTTTGACTGCAAAAACAACAAAAGCATCACACAGAGACACAGACCTTTCATTACTGTGAATCCCATGTGAAACAATGGTATTTATATTCGCCTCTTTACAAAGTGCAATGTCCATGGTAGTTAAAATCTTGCATGTGTTTACAGAACAGCGAAGTGCATGTCAGTATGAGGAAAAGAGAGAGGAAAAAGATAGAATTCAATTTTAAATTATTATGGCCTACAACTGAATAATACTTGTACAATCATTTGTTGAGAGAAAATCACATGAAACACATGCTAGTTTTCTTCTAAATGATTCATAGCTGAAATTCCAAAAGTTAGAACTCATATGCCTTTTCCTACAAAGGCAACAGTTGAAAGATGCCAGAGCATTATTACTTTTAAATAACATCAAACTAAAGTCTTAGGAGGTTATGATTTCTACAAGAACCATATCAGCATCTATCATGGCCTTGACAGCTATAGATAGAGGAGTGGTAACTACCTGGTCGCAAATAGCTGATCATTTGTAGGACATAAGATAAGACTTCTCAACTTTCTTTTGTGTTGACTAGATATAACTGAGCCAGTGTGGCAACGAATTGTGATTGGTGAAGAGCTGCTTCGTACAAGTGGAATCAATTCTTTATGTTCTTTCAGCTCTGTAATTAAAAGCAAAACAAGCATCAATTCTACCCCTTTTATCATCAACTCATCAAATGTATGGTAACCAAATACTGCATGTCATCCAATTCATTTTGAACCATAAAGCATATAAATAGGCAGTATAAGCAATTAGGAAATAATTTACTTTACCTATTATTCTTTTTGCCGCTTTAGTTTGGCTTGCACTAACTTCTGGTTTGGGAGATACCTTGTAAGATCTGTCCTCTCTTACCTTGACACTTATATTATCACTAGTTGGGGTAATTGCGTTCTGCTGTGAACCAGAACTGCTTGCGACTTTTGATCCAGATTCTTTTGTCTTCACAAGTTGAGAAGCTCTAGGGCTGCTTGCAGCAATGCTAGGAATTACAAGCTTTGGTTTAGACTGATGTTGATTTTTAGAAGAGTATTCAGAGTGACCAGAAGGACTTGCTGCTCCCCGCTCACGTCCCTCATAGTTTCTAGATGTCTTAACAGCTTCCTGACCCAATTGTGGTTTACTTTCAGATAGATTTTGCAAACCTTGACTATTCTGCAAAGGAGCGCAGGATCTTTCTTCTACATTTGCTTCCTTTGTACCACTCCCAAGAAAAGCTTTGGTTGTCAATGAACTGTGGCGACCACGAATGCGAGCCAATTGAATCTTTGATTCTTCTAATCTGTTCTCTGCTTGATCAAGCTGCAGTTCTCACCCAAAGGAACAGCAAAGCATTACTTCCAGCAAAGTATGAAATTGTGCAATATAAAAGCAACACGAAAACATCATCTTGAATCACGTCCAACAAAATATGAGCCCAGCACACAGCAAAAGATACAAGTCAACTTTAACAACAACTGTTACCAAGAAAGCTTTCCCTCAGCTTGAATTAACAAACAAGTTCATGCAAAGACGCATTATATATGCAATTTTTCATAAAATCACAGGATGAAGTCAAACATTACTGCATATCATGTGTCCTCGATTTACTCTCCCTCTCTGCATCACCTAAAAATACAAGTAAACTCCATCTCGAAACTCAATCACTCCATTAATTGATGCCTTCGAATCACTCCCTTCATTAACGCTCAATGCCACCTTAAACATCTAATAGAAAAACATCCAAAAAAAAAAAGGTCCTACCTTGCATTTCTACACTCCACTCACAGAAAAATGGACCTTTTATCATACTACCTTACATTTCTACACTCCACTCACATAAAATGGATCTTTTATCATACTTACAGCTTCGCCAGAGTCAGACTTTTCACTTGAACAAAAACCACATTCAACACATTTCCAACCTAAATTAATAAGCGTTAAACGATCATTTGAATACAAACAACTGATGATAAACGAAAAAGGAAAAAAAAGTTAAACCTAAACAAGCTTCCTACTCCACCATTTCTGTAGCTTCCGACCACTGCCATTTTCCTTCTTTTTGAGTGATACAGCACAAAACAATCCAAATTTCCAACAAAAAAAAATCAAAACTCATACTTAAGACAAAGAAATTCAAAAAATTCCAATACCTAAGAAAAACTGACCCAAAGAAGGGAAGAAATAGCGAGAAAAACTTGCAGACCTGAGTTGTATAATAGCTGATGCGGTGGCGGAGATGTTCTACTTCTTTAGTACGGTGTTCAATAAGAGCAACGAGAGCTTCCTCTTGCTCTTTCCTCGTCGTTTCCTCTTCGTCTTCTTGTTCGTGATTGCCGCCATTGTTGCTTCTCTTTTCTTCTCCTGCTTCGCTTGTTTTTTCGATTTTAGGCTTTTTGAGAACCGGACGGGGAGGGTCGTTCATGCTCATTTATTAGTCCTGTTTCTTTCTTCTGTGGTTGGCTTGGGCTTTTATAGTGTTTGACGTGCACCCGTCCTTAAACCCACCTATGCTATTGGTGATCGTAGATGTGATTCTTTTTTCCCTTTTCTTTTAACTTTTTAATCCTGATAATTAATTGACAGTGAGGAGGGACTAGCGAGTTTTCCCTAATCAACCTTCAACATGATTAGTTACTTAAAACTCTTTTTTTTTTTTTGTGCTTAGATAAACTAATCATTAATCTCTATGGTGCTTCCACAATTTGCCGCATTTATTACTGGTTGGATTAACTTTTAAGACGTAGAAAAAAAAATTATGAAATCATCCTTTACATAATCTTGAATATACTTACATAGTCTATAGACTCGTAGACCAAATGTATCTAAACATTATTGAGGCCAAACTTATCTAAACATTGTTCCTTATCCTCTCTAACTTTGCCTTTTTAGTTGGAAGGGCTACACAAATACTACATATATTTGAGGTGTGGATGGTGTATTGCTGAATTTAGAGGTTACAATTGATATTGATGCATAAAATGTAAACATTTGTTGTTTTTTTAACACGTGTTGTAATTGTTTACACATTTGTTACTTTAATGCAAGTGTTGCACATGTAATTACACAAATTCATAGTTTTTGGTACAGTGCTGTTTTTTGTTAGACTCCTTTGTGCTACACAGAGGGAGTAGGATACTATATATATTTAAGGTGTGGATGGTGTATTCTCTGAATTTAAAGATTATAATAGGGCTCGTAGAGATTCAAGTTGCTCGCGAACTAGTCTAAGGTTCGACTCGACCTTGAGCAGCTCATTTGTGAATTCGTGTCAAGCATGAGCCTTAAAGAAGGAGGCTTGAGTGCTTAACAAAAAAACTTATTCGAGTAATTAGGTTTTTAAATTAAAAATAATATATATGTGAAATTACACTTACAGGTATGAAAGTTGTGAAATTTATCACTGAAAAATCAAACTCGAGCTCGACGTGGCTCGCAAAGGCCCTAGAGCTCATTTGAATTGAGTTCAAACTCATATACTACTTATTCAAGTCAAACTCGAGTTTAAAAATCTTTACTCAATCAAACTCGAATAGCACTATCAAGAATCGAGTTTGAGTTCGAGCATGACATTCCTCGAATTCAATTCAGTTTGAATGCACCCTAGGTTATTATTGATATTTGCATATAATATATAAATATTTGTTTTTTGTTTTACAGTGTTGTAAATTTTTTTTTTATATGCAAGTGAGAAGTTTCGAATCCAAAATCTCTCACTTACACTCCCCTTTCTCATATTACCCAACCCATCCTTCTCAGCTACTAGTGTTATAATTGCATACAAGTGTTGCACATGCAATTACAGAAGTTTTTCGTTTTTCACTTTACACATGTTATAACTGTTTATACATTTGTTACATTAAAACAAGTGTTGTCACGCATAGTTTTGGGTATACCGCAATTTTTCGTTAGAATCCGTTCGAGTTGCATTTTTTTTACATTTGCCTCGATCTCGATTTTGAAGTTCATCAGCAACCATAACATACATAATCCAATCACTTTTTCTTAATCAGTTTAGTTTTTTTGTTGTTCCTAGTCACTGAAGGTAATACATCTAAGATCATAGAGGACCAAGCTGGAATATGTGAGAAAAACTATACAATAATCTGCGGACGAAAGTTCAAGTCTCGATTACTGATCTGGGATATAGAGTGCGTCAGCAGCACCTTTATCTTCCTTTTTTGCATTTCTTCTCCTCTTCCTTTCCGATGGAGGTTCTTTTGCTTTTAGATCATTGCAGAAAGATCTTAATGACGCAGCCAGTTGACTGTTCCGATGAGCTGAAACAAGTCCATGTCAGCTTATGGTATATGAACATCGAAAATAAACAAACAAACAAAAACAAAAACGAGAGAGAGAGAGAGAGAGAGATATATATATATATATATATATATATATACACTTAACAAACTGAATCAAGATGCACTCGACTTTATTTCCCTAAACCAGAAATTCAAAACGTGCAGACATATGCCATATCAGAGCTTAAACAATGTGCTTCGGAATCCTTGTCAGCAGCACTAATGACACTTGTTTTGTCAATGCAAGTATCACATGTAAGAGGATGACAAAATTGGGGTAAACTGAGAATATCAACGTATAATATGCTCCAATATAAATAACCTGGACTTGTAACGATGATCAATGACAAGACATGAGCCTGTTAATTGAGAAGAAGAATGCTTTTACCGTTTAAAACAATTCAGACTCTTGCTAGTCTTTTTTTTTAGGAGACTTGCTAAAGCATGCAGTATGCAGCTAAACATTCTAAAACTGCAGGTGCACTGAAGTACAATTAGGCATATCATTATTTTGAATAATCCAGAGACAGAAAACTCACTTCCAAAATTATGCGAGTCAACTCACCACAAAGTATGACATCTTCCATGTTTACAGATTTACGACCAGCATGCTGTGAGAATAGCTCAAGGTCCTTTGCCAACTGTTCTGCATTTCAGGAAATACTCCATTTTTAGTTCAAACTTCAACAACTGCAAGAAACCTTTTTGTCAGCAAAGGCTAAGGGTTGCATATGCAAGTTGTGATCTTTAATCAATATTGGTGCTTTCAATTCGGGAATGTCAGACTAACTATCATACATCTTACCCTCTCTGCAGGAACAAAATGCGAGCAGCGAGTAAAACTAGTTTTGTTATGGAAACTTGAAATTTGTAAATATTTTGATCCACTTAATATCCTAGTTTAAATTGGCTGAATACAGGGATGCAAATTCGCTGGTGTCGCATCATTTTAATACATTTTGCAGTGTCAAAAAACATTGTAGAAGATGAATTAGGGGAGAAGAAAATGGGGTTGATTAAGGAACAAGCTACAACACCAGATCTCATCCACTCTCATGGTCATCATATTGTTTTCCATCAAAAATTCATGCCAAGAGCAAAGCTGAAAGCTGGAATAGCTAGACATGAAATACAGATTTCATGTTTCATGGAAAAGCTGAAGAACTTGGAAACACATAAAAATCAAACCAAGATGGCCAACAATTAGATAGAGTTCAAGTCTACCTCTATCAGTTAATAAGCAGCTTAAGATGCAATTGTTGCAGAAAATTAGATGTTAAGAATATTATACAGATTATAAGTTGGTGATCCTTGTCATCCATCTGAAATGAACAGAAGTATCCTAAACCTAATCTTCCAGACAGACCAATTGACCATGATGCAAAATTATCGAGAATCGGTCTTTGGGAGATGCTACTTTTGTGGCCTAATACATTGAGCCTCCTTGCTCTTGCCTTTCATCATCTCCACACCCCAAAGATGAGCACATTCCCATACTGGATACATGCTGAACTAAATTGGTTATGGACCAAACTTTCAGTCAAGACGACTTCACATTTGAGATTATCTTGATTAAGTTGAAATAATCAAGTTGACTTAATCAAGATAATCTCAAAAGAAGATAAGTCAAGATGAAATAATGTGATTTTAGGAGCTCTATACAATGAACCACTTCCTGCTGAGACAGTTCCACAGCTCAATAGCCCATTCTGTGCAATCATAGACTGGAAATCCTCTACTATCAATTGTATTTGACTATACTCCAAATGGTAACCAAATGCAGAGAGAAAATACACAGAATTGCAGTAAGATGACTAGAATCAAACAGCCTAACAAAACCCAATAAAAATAGTTTCTTTCAAGCCCACCAGAAAAAGGAAAAAAAAATCAAGCACGCATTTTGGACGACGAATTTATCAAAGTTGCTCATTTCCATTATTCCTTTTTTTTGGGCCCTCCAAATAACAGGTAACCATATATAATTTTATTTAAAACTCTAATACAAGCTTAATACACAGAGAACCTTAGGGAGAAAAATATTACCGGCATATTTGAAGGCTAGATCCGAAATACAAGCCATGATCGGTTGCGAAACTTCCATCCCATTCTTTTTGGCTGCTCAAAAAATTTCGAATATGAGATGATTTTACATAATATTATGCAATCAAGTATCCAAAAGCTAATTAAAATACCTTCGGCTTCAGCAATGGAGATAGTGCAGAGTCGAAATCGATCTCTTAAGATCTCATTGACTGCTTCTTCTTCATCTCTATCCATTTCGCTTTCATTTTCTCCGGTTCCTCTTTCCATTTTCGACCAATTCAGAAATTTGTTATCTAGGGTTGCTTTTTTTTTTTTTTGGTTTGGGGTGGGAATTTTTTTTGGGGCCAAATTGGCCGGAATCAGCACAAAATGCGCGGGAAAAATGAAGGGAGCGCCACGTTTGAAGCAGCTTGGTTTGTTTGTGATGGGCCTAGGCCTTCTGGGCTTCAGTTCCCAACAGTGAACAAACTTTTCAATGGCCCGTAAGCAGCATGCTTAGTCAATCTACTCTTAAATTTTTGGACAAGATTTTTTTTAAAAAAATAATGGTTAATAAAACAAATGGTAGAACTGTAAATAACAAAAAATTGAGTCCAAATAACATTTCTCTATAGGATAAAGTGATTAAATTTAAAATTTTTTTAAAAAACATAAAAGTTAAAGCATCAAAATTGAGCTTTAGTTAAAAGTGTTTTTTACACCAAAAGCTCCATTTCTAATTTTATGGAATGATGTTTATCAAAGCGTTTCAAAAATACTTTTAACATCCAAAAGTGCTTTTTAACTGAAAGCACCGCAACCCCAAACAGGTCCTAATTATTGTTAATAGTGATTCTAAGTAATGATACTCTCTATGTATACTAACGTCAAAATAATGTCAGCCCATATAAGATCAACTCTTTTGTAAATCATCTTGGACATTATTCACGTCTCTTTTTTCCTACTCATTAATTTTTTCAAGGCCTCTCATCTCATGGTAGGTAAACAACAGAGAAATTGAGATTGAAACTGGCAACTTCAAAAAATCACAACTGATGCTACACAAAATCAAGAACTTATCATGAGGTGGGTGGATTTAGCATATTGTGTTCAGTGAACGCATTGCATTGATGAGAATAGATCACATATCCTAGAAAAATCTGACGTTGACTCAATGGTAAAATCTTTTCGCGATTACTGATCTGTATCAGTGGAAGATCATGTAACTGAAGAAGCCTTGGCCAAGAAAACAGAAACGTTTACAGAATTTTGGGTATTGAATCATTAATATAGAGCTTGACAGCTATATTTTGACATGCTTCATTGAAGATCCCATAATATTGAAGATTCGCCAGTCTGTGGAGATTGTTTACTTGTGCTGTTAGATAATCAATTCTTTGATTCTACAGTGCTTATTTCTGAATTTAGGAACAAGATAGACATAGGAAATTCAGCACATCCAACCTTTACTACTATTTATTTAGTCCTCAACTCCTGCAACAGGTAATGTTTCATTAAATGGGAAGCTGATATTATTGCTTCTGTTGCAATATAAGAATCTTAATATGCTAAAGCTAAACTATCTGGAAAATTATATAGTTAAAGAAAGGACATGCCACTTTACTTCTCAACGACAAAATTATATGGTACTAAGCAATTGAAAGGACAAAATATACATCCCAACATGGTTATGCCACTTAGGAGCTTAAGAAGATATTGACTAGTTGTTTGAGGAAATTGTGCCTCCAGTGAACATCTTGGTGCTCAAACAAGGAAAAAATCAAAGAACTTTTGAATTGAATGCATTCTAAAGAAGTATTAGCCCATGTTTTTGTAGTCAATAGCTGAGAGATGGGAAAAACACATATAAGAAGAACGTGGGAAATTAGGCTCTAAAACTTGTGCACCAGTCCAGTATTTCCTGAGTCTAGCTGTTAAAAGTACATGGCTCCTGGACCAAATGACAGGCTTGAAAAAGCCACTTCCTCAGCTAGTGTACTCGATGAAGAGCACCAAGCTGTTGAAAGGACCAATAGCGAAAATAAATCAACAAGACACCCTCGGTGGACCAAGCAAGAAACACTAATCCTCGTTGAAGGGAAAAATATTGCAGAGAGTCAAGGAAGGAGGGGCCGCAGATCCAGCTCTCTCTTTGTTACAGGTCAGCATGAACCCAAATGGGACTCTGTCTCATCGTACTGCAGATTGCATGGGGTGAACAGAGGGCCGGTCCAGTGCCGAAAGCGATGGAGCAATCTTGTTAGTGACTTCAAGAAAATAAGAACATGGGAGTCACAGGTAAAAGAAGAAGGTGAATCATTTTGGGTGATGAGAAATGATTTGAGGCGGGAGAAGAAACTTCCAGGTCACTTTGATAGAGAAGTCTATGCTGTCCTCAATGGAAACTCCTATCAAGCTGTAATGGGAATGAGTGTAGATGGAAGAGAGGCTGATGGGACATGTGTAGCAGATACTGAGGATGAGGATGAGGAGGATGTTAACAGGGGGATAGAAACGGGGGTAGTCTTTGATAGTGGTACTCATGCCAGACCAGAAACTCTAATTTCACATCTTGAGAAGTGCGCTCAGGGGAAAATTTTCAGGGGTCCAAACGCACAAGTTGCAAGAGAAAGTCCAAGAAGCAATTCCCCTGCTCCAATGCCTCTATCAGGTTTGATACATGCTCAAGTATCCTTTCATCCAAGACTTCAGCAAGCAACCAACTTGGTTGATTGTTCAACACTGCCGCCCACTTCCTTTTATTTATTATTCTACACCTTCAAAAGATATACAGTATAGGTTTGGTTAGCTCATTCAACTATATATGTCACTGTTAGACTTATCTTTCTCTAGAGGATGCTTATAAAGTTAAATCTGATCTGCAAATTGAATCTCTCCGAGTAAATCTTCTGTTTTGCTTTCAATCACTGAGTGAGTCTTCACACGAAAATAGTTCTTTTCCCTTGAAACTGTTATGCTAACGATTGCCTCTTAAAGCAGAGAAGCATTGTCAACACTTTCATCAGGCATACTCCAACCAAGGTAAACCTAGATATCTTCATCCCATTTTGTCATTTATTATTAACCACACGGAAGAGGGATGACATGCTATTATTTCTCCATATTCAAAAAATTCATGCTGTCACTATGAACTCGTAATATTAGTCAGAATATACAAAAAATTTGTATATCTAGTCTAGTTAATCAATGATGAAAATTTTTCAGTTGCCTAGCATTTGTTTAACTAGCTTGTGACCCTTAGGTCCAGCAAAAGGAAAACAGCCAGGCCCACGTTTCTGGACAAGAAGAGTCTCTCAGGAGGATGTGAAGAGAAGAAGACTATCCTTGGATAAATGTGAAGATTTCAACCTCAGTCAGCACTTGATCAAGGTTTTGGAAAGAAACAATTGTGTACTAAATGCACAACTGGAAACCCAAAGAATGAACTCACAGTTAGACAGAGAGCAGCAGAAGGCCCACACTGATATACTAAGTTCTGCTCTCAGTAAGATTTGCGATGCTTTTTCAAGAATTGCAGATAAGTTTTGACAAAGGAAGATAATACATGTTCTTTGCAGCACCAGTTTTTACCCCAGCATTCAACCTATGGATAGAGAATTTATTATCCTTGTGTATTAGCAATTAGATTCCTTTACTTCCCTAACATATCAAAAGTTGCTCTAGCATTTTAATGGTATTTAATTCTCTGATGTAAAATCCTTGACTACCCAGGTCATTTCCCAGTAATGATTTGATTATTTTTTTTTTCCCATTAAACTGCCTTATGGTAGCATTCTGGGTCTTAATCGGAAAGCTCATACAAAGAGCACACATCAAAGTATGAATTCCATATTAGGTCATTGTCACTTCGTCTTCATCTTCCTGCAGAAAATAACGAACCACGAAAGGGGAACCAGAATCAAGCACTATTTTGATGTCAAAAACCATACTAAAGAAAATGCAAACGTATATACAGCTTCAAATCACCAAGTGATGACATCTACATTCAATTATAGCCCAATGCTTTAACAAACAAAAATTGTTGAAGTTACAGTTGATACCTGATCATCAAATCTAATATACATGGTCTAGGAGGAAACAAAAAGAGAGAAACAACATATGGAAATTAGAGCTCTAAAAACCTTCTGGGAGTCTCCTAATATCTAGCCGTTCAGAAGAGGAAGAAGGCAAAAATTCAGCTCTAACCTCTTGTTATGCACTAGGCAGGAACAGCCTCCACAAGCTTTGCAAAATAAAATTGTGTTGTAACTAAACCTCTCTTCCTTATTTTCCAGCCAACTTTCTGCAAAGCCCTCTCGACATCAGCCTCTGCATGTAGATATGCCCTTGTAGCCTTTGATGGTCCAGGGAACAATTCTCCAATTCTCTTCAACAGATCATAGTAAAATGTCTTGGGAGCAAAACTAAGAATCAACCGATTCTTGGCTAACGAAGCAAGACGAGCAATCATGGCGTCTGCCTTACTTTGTGGATAATGTATCAAAACATCTAAGCAGACTACCGTGTCATACTTGCCATCTAAGCTTTCTAAGTCCTTCACTTCAAATTTTGGCATAACTGGTGCTGGTGATACCTCATCTTTACCTTTCAACAGCTCTGCTTCCGCCTGTACCAACCATGGCTATCAAAGCTAAAATCTTATAGACCCCATACACTAGTATGGAGGTAAGAGTTTTACTTAATTAGACAATTGAAGATTATTCTTCCAAGTGTTAGCAAATAGGGCTGGAAAAAAAAAAGGACATTTTATCTGTACAGCGTCTTGTCGATTGGATAGTTTATAGTGAAATGATTTGGGGTCTATAACTAAACCAAAGGACTACATGAGTAAACTATAGACAGGTGGCATTGTTGATTTAAGTTACTGTAGCCAGTAATAGGGAACATCGGATAGAGAGAAGAGACTAGAGAGGAAAATATACATATTCTATAATTATATAAAAATGAATCATGATTAGCACAAGGCACAATTTTAGGACTTAGGGATGTGAATTTACCCTATTCCGGACCCCTTTTTCTTTCATTCTTTTCCACTCTTTTTAATTGGTTATAAAAATTTCAGCATTTCATCAAGATGACTACTCATTGTTAGCATTTTAAGCAGCTAATTATCCCCAAAGAACGCATTTTTACTGAATTTTTACGAAAAAACTGGAAAAAGAAATTGTAAAGCATGCCCCCAAGAAATAGGGGAAAAAAATAGTAGTTGCTTTGGCTGATCAATGCAATTAACCAATTAGCAAGATGATTAGCAGTAAGGCTCGCCTGCTTCTGAGCTTCAGCAACCATAGCAGCCGAAATATCGCTAGCCAAAACAACGGCCCCTTCCTTCGCCAAGGGAATAGCCAGCGACCCGGTCCCACATCCGGCATCACAAACAGTAACTCCCCGCAAAGACCCTTCATCCTTCAACATTTTCAAAGCATTTTCGACTGTTTTGGAATGCCCAATTCGGATATCCAATTGAACCTTATTCACATCGTCCGTATCCCCATAAATCTTCTTCCACCTCTGAAACCCATTATTGTTAAAGTACTCCTTAACCACCTCCTTATCCCCACCGCCAACCTCCTCCGCCTGCATTCTCCGCCGCCGTTCCGGGTCAGCCAGAGAGAGCACCGCAGCAAGTGCTGCCACTGACCCGCCACCAATGACGGCGACTGTGGTTCCGTCTAAGGTAGGAGCCATCGAGACAACGTCGGTTGCCGTGGATAGTGGCGGAATGGCAGCAAATGTGAAGGATTTTCGGTGAGGTTTGGTGGGGTTTAGGGTGGGGTTCGGGGTGAAAGAGACAGGGGAGAAAACTGAAAAGGGCTGAGGAGAAAGCCATTTTAGGGGTCAGTATTAAGTTGGCCGCCGGCCGGAGATAGAGTCCAGTGTGCTAGTTAAAAGGTCAAGCTGTCTCGTTGGTGATGATGATGATGACGATAATGTAATCTGAAACGGATATGATTTGGCGCCAGTCGTTCTGGTGGGTCCCCTTCTTTTGTATCGGAGGCGGATGGCTCTTTTTGCCACTTTCTCGATTTAATGAATGGAAAATCGTTTTACATTTTTCAAACACGGCTAGGTTTTTCATGAATATATTTTTAATTACCTTTTTTATCTGGTATACATTAAATCGTTATAATAATTTTTTTCTAAAATATTCAAAAAAATGCAATCTAACAAGGCCTAACTTTTTCGTTTCTTATTTTGAAAAATATAATTTTACGTCCCTTATAAATTTATAAGGGTCAAATTTAATCCTTATCTAGATTTCTAACTAATTTTTTATTGCAATCCATCACATGCCTGTACGTGATTATTTTTTAAAGGTAAAATTGTTATATCAAATTTTACATAATCCGATCTGTAGTCTCTCATATGTCACAAAATAAATTATTCTGTTTCTCATGTTTCACAAAATAATAGTTTTTTTTTAAATCTATGTATATATCTATTTAATTTCACCTGAATATTACGAATAGCATGTAATATATCTTTATTTGATTTCACCTAAACAGACTAATTGTAATTATACGCATGTTATTCAATTAATATATATATATATATATATATATGTGTGTGTGTGTGGGTTTAAAACTAACAAATTTTTTTTAAACTCATGTATATATTTATTTGATTTCATCATGTGAATTTGTTTAATATTTGTGACCTTTTCTCTTTTGATAATAATTCATTCATTGAGTTGTATAATAAGGTAATCTAATTAATAGGTCATAATTCAAATTTTATAATCATGCTAACAAATTGTAATTTATATCTGAAATTTCTACTCGCCATTTTTAGGACTAATAGTTGAATTAATTGTCTTGTAATTGTTTTAAAATTTGAAAGTGCCAATCACTTACTTCTTTTTATCATACTTTTTCTTTGTTTATTTTTATGTCCAAATTTAATTCGATATAAATACACGACAATATTTAAAATTAAATCTCTTATTTGTTTTCAATTTTTGAGTAAAAAAATGAACATGAGTGAAAACTAGCAATTTTTTTAAATTCATGTATTTATTTATTTAATTTTACCTGAACAGTATGAACAACATGTAATATATTTCTATTTAATTTCGCCTAAATAAGCTAATTGTAATTGTACACATGTTGTTTGTATTGTTTAGGTAACATTAAATAGATACGTACATGACTTAAAAAAATTATTCATACACATGATTAATGAAAGATAAAAAAATTTATTTTGTAAAATGTGAGGGATGAAAAAATTCATTTTGTAAAATATGAGAAACTATAGATTGAATTATGTAAAATTTGATTTGAAAATTTTACCCTTCAACAATGATCATGTGTAAGTCATGTGATGAATTTCGATAAGAAACTATTCGAAAACCTAAATAGGGACTAAATTTGACCAATATAAATTTATAAGGGATGTAAAATTACACTTGTAAAAGCGATGAATGAAAAAAGTTATTTTATCAAATGCGAGGGATATTTTAAACGATCTTTCCTCTAATGAATGATGAGAATCGCTAGGATATAATTTTGATAATTTTTTTCACTCTAACAAATGCTCCTATATGTGCAAAAAAAAGATAGAGCAATACATACAACAACTAATACGAAGTAAGAAAACAACCCATATGCAAGGATAATAATAGTAATCTAAATGAAGCTACAACTCTCGATAAGAGAATTAAATTTAGAACTTTCTAATTTACTTACCAACTTAAAATTATGGGTTTTTGTGATCAGTGGACACTATAAGTTAAGTATTGGGTGGTGATTAAATGTCAAGTGTTAATCTTTTTTTAAAGAGTGGAATAAACCTTGATAAGCCTAAATACAAGAGAAGCAACAATGCAAGTAAGGTTCAGATAATAAGCATATCATCTAGATTAAGGTTGCAAACAAATTAAACCCCTTACGAGTTGATTTAGTCAAAACTCAACTTGAGTTTGGTTAATATCAAACTCGAATCGAGTTCAAATTGACCAGATTGAGCTGTCAAACTCCAACAAACTATAGAAAAATTTAACTTATTAACTTGCGAGCTAACTTGTATATATATATACACACACACACATACATACATATATATAACTCGAGTAGACTCGAACTCGAACTCAAATTGAGATCAAGTTTGAACTCGAGTATTACATTAAAAAATCGTCGAGTTTGAACTTGATGAAATTGAGCTGAGCCCAGCTCAATTAAGCCAAAAGCTCGATTTAACTCATCTGTAGTCCTAATCTAGATAAACTGACTACTTACTGGTTGAAGAGGTTTCAGTTTAATGGTTAAAATTAAAATCCTAAAAACTAAATGTCTTGGATTCTAATCCTCTGCTCCCTCTTTACTTTTTAAATCTCATCTCTCATTTACTAGAAAAAAATTTGTTTACCCGTTAAAAATGTCCAATGTCAATATATGCATGTTTATGATTTTAAAGAAATGTGTAATCAAATTGTTCTGAGTGCTACAAAACAACAACGAGAAGAAAACCCTCCAGCGATTATACCACAAATCTCCACTATTCATTATGAATTCGATTACACAAGTCAATTCTGATTTTGGACAGGTCGCAGAGGGTAAAACAGGATGGGAAAACCGTATTCAAGCAACTCCACAGTGGCCTGCCCTTGATATTCACTAGACAATTGTTGCCACAAAGCACGGCCCACATGCATTATACACGGCAGTTATCAATGCGAGAGCCCATTGAGTTTGAGAAAGTACCCGAGAGCATTTCCCAAGGGGACTAGCAAACCAACAGAATTTGTGATGCAAAGTTCAACTTTTGTTTGGTTAAGCAAACCAGATGCCTAAAATGCTTAAAGACTCAAACCAGATTAGTTCATGCCCTATATTTTATCTATACGATGCCTTCCTACACTATTAGAACAGACTAAAATGGGCGTTTATTGTTTGTTCTCATAATCAGGGTACTTGGTTCGTGCACAGCGCTGAAGGTGGAAATGCCTATTTGGTTCGAACGCAAAACAAAGTCCAAAGGAATGAGAATATGGTGTGACTCCTTTTTTTTTTTTTTTTTGCTTTTTCTTTTGGTGTAATTAGTTCCCTCCCTATTCATTTTATTTCTTTGGCTGAAAATATTTGAGAAATATAAATATCGGATTTATAGGGACATTTGTTACCAAGTATTGTTGAAGGAAACAGAAACTAACAAACACCCGTGTTGAAGGCAAAATATCAAATGATTCTCAATTGGAAAATTAGTGTGAGGAAATAATGGAACAGTACTAGTGATGTTTTTATGAATAACATTTTGTAAAATTGCTTGGTGAATTAAATTAATTGTCTAAATTCAAGAAACATGAATAAGGAAAGTATCATGAAGTAATGTAGTGAGCTGCGATCGATGTTTCGGTTTTGATATATACTAAATTTTTGGTATGGTGTGGAGTATATTTTTCACATTTTATAAGAAAAACAATACAAAAAAGCGGAAGGAATTAAAATAAAAAAAAAAACAAGAAAGACAAGTCCTCCGTGCCAGTTTATTTGGACAGCTGATTATTTTCTCAAATATATTTGCTTACATCATTATTACAATTTTCAATACATCTTTTTATCTCACATACATCAGATCACAAAAAGTGCTACAATAAAATATCTCAAATAACTTACAATCCAAACAAACTGAATTGCCAACCCCTTCAGTCCTTGATAAAACCAAATATGGGTATTACATAAAGCCAATTGATTGTAAATATAAAAAAAAATTCCTCTAACATAAAACAATTCAAAACTGTACACATAGGCTTCATTATTGAAACAAAACAAAAGATAGAAATTGATATCCGATAATCGTTCAGTTATTGGCTTGTAGTCCCATCGTATCCTAAGCCTTATCTTTTATTCTTCTTGGAAAATTCAAGCCCTTAAAGTCACGTGAGCTGTGACCACTTCTGCGATTATTTTTCTACTGGATGACTAGGATCTGATAGCACTTCTCCACCCACTGGCCTTGAGTCTTGACCGACCCTTAAGGGTCTGAATTGTAATAAGTACAAAAGAAATGGACACTTATTTAAACTTGAGAATGGTCGTTGAGTAAGTCCAGTATGTGAGAAGTAATAACGTCTCCCCGTTTGGATTAGCTGTTTTTGGGTTATTTTTCAAAAACAGCACTGTAGTATTTTGTTTTTGAAATACAAGTTCGTTTGGATTAGTTATTTTTGGAGTTGTTTTTCAAAAACTATATGAAAAACTTTTAACGTAGATGTTTTTTGGATTATTTTTAAAGGTATTTTTAAAACATATTTTTGGGTATTTTTATAATTTATAATTTTTATTTTTTATACATTTATGCATTTATAATACATTTATAAATATTTATAAATAAATATATTTATATAATACCTAAAAAATATATAAATGTATTATAAATGTATTATATTATATATAATACATAATATAAATATATAAGTGTATATTATTATAAATGTATAAATTTATAAATGAATATTATATAAACGTATAAATTACAATTTATAATTTATAATTTTTATATTTTTATATAAATATACATTTTTGCATTTATAATACATTTATAAATAAATATATTAATATATTTATATAAAAATATATAAATGTATTATAAATTTATTATATTATATATAATACATAATATAAATATATTTATAAATGTATAAGTGTATATTATTGTAAATGTATAAATTATAAATGAATATTATATAAATGTATAAATTATAATTTATAATTTATAATTTTTATATTTTTATATAAATATACATTTATGCATTTATAATACATTTATAAATATTTATAAATAAATAAATTTATTTATTTATATAAAAATATATAAATGTATTATATTATATATAATACATAATATAAATATATTTATAAACGTATAAGTCTATATTATTATAAATGTATAAATTATAATTTTATTAATATATATTAATATTAAGTATAAATGTATTAATATTTTGTATGAATATAAAATTAATATTATGTATATTAATATAAATGTATAAATGTATTATAAATATATTATATTATATATAATACATAATATAAATGTATATTATAAATATACATTAATATATATATATTATGTATAAATGTATAATATATATAACATATAATATATGTTATATTATATATAATATATGTTATATTATATATAATATATAATATATGTTATATTATATATAATATATAATATTTATAGTATGTATAAATATATAAAATATTTATAATATATAAATAAATATATAAATAATTAATATATATAATATACATTAATATTAATTATAAATGTTATAATATTATAAATATGGTGTTTATATAATATTTCAATTTGTAATATTTATTGTATATTTCATTATATAAATATTCATATAATATATAAATATATAATATATAATTTTCAATTTGTATAATATACATAATATTGTATATATATAATATAATATACATAATATAATATATTATACATAATATACATTATTACATATTATGTATATTATATATTATACATAACATTATTATACACAATAATGTACATAATAATATTATACATTAATAATGTATATATTATAATATAATGTACATAATATATTATGTATAAATATTTACACATTTATGTATACAATATTACATATTATGTATATTATATTATATTATGTATAATATACAATATTATGTATAATATTAATTTATATAAATATTTATATAATATGTAATATATATATAATTTTCAATTTGTATATTTCAATTTATATTAATATAATATATATATATATATATATATAATATACATATGTAGTTGTTTTTGATATAATGTTTGGATATGGTGTTTTTGGAGTTGTTTTAGAAATACACATTTACTGTAGCATTTGGAACTTGAAAAACAGTTTTTAAAAAATAGTCCAAAAAACAAGGGATCCAAACACACCCAACATGTCCTGGAAAAAAGCTTTTTGAGCAACTACAAAAATTAGAGCCAAAAAATGATCAAATAACTGGCTGAAAATAAGGGTTAAGATTTATGTTTACATTGATTGCAAAACTCAATTCAACTCGCAAGAACAATTAGTAAGAATGTTCATCAGGTGGTATCAAGGTAAATGATTTGATTCTCGAGCTTTTCTAAAATTTGAAGTCTCCGTTGTACCAACCAATAAGAAATTAAAAAAAATTATTGACATTGCTTCACATAAAAAATGAGATTATAAGAGTCCATTTGAATTATTATTTTCTTTTTGAAAAAAAAAAAGTATCGCAACGAATTGATATATATATATAGAGTAAAAAGGTGATTGTGAAATGTGTCCAGAAAAAATGTATATTTTTTTTGGAATAAAATGACAATCCAAACATGCCCTAGTAAGTACGCAATTATGTATCCTTATATTCCTTTTTGAAGAAAAATGTATCCTTACTCCTATGAATAAACAGTAATACGACACCTGCTCACCAGATTTACCTGCTGGGCGTCAACATACCCGGGAAAGTAGCTGTATGAGGATAAGCTAAAAACAAGCAGAATCTCCGGCCACTCGCTCCAGCAGTCAAGTCAACACAGCTACCTCCGCTGTACTTCTTTCCACTCGCACTCCGCACCGTTTCTGCTTTTACTAGTATTTCTCGTTTTACTTGCTCAAAAGTCTAAGCAAGACTCATCACTGCCAGCCCCGCATGATAAAACCATTAATCATCGAACCCATTCGTGTAACAGAGAAGAAAGGCCTCCTGAAACTGGCAAAGTTTCCGGCTATAACTGGTACTGCTTTCAGCTGAATTCCATTACAAGTTGCACAAATGTCTGCATTCAGTGGTTTATTTGAGTGTACTGATTCTGTCTTGTCTGTGTCCGTAGGCCCTTTTTAAGTGAGGATCGCGTGTACGATCATTGGCCTCATAGGTGACTGAACACAAGCCAAGAATGGCTAACAAGTTGATGCTGCTGATTTTTGTTGTGGGTTTTGCTTTGTGCGTGGAATCAAAGTATATGGTCTACAATACCGGTGCCAAAATTGTGCCTGACAAGCTTAATGTTCATTTAGTTCCTCATTCTCATGATGATGTTGGATGGCTCAAAACTGTTGATCAGTACTATGTTGGTTCCAATAATTCAATACAGGTTCCCCTCTTTGCATTTTTTAACTTGATTTATTGTAATTCAGTACTCTGCTGCTGCTGCTGCTGCTGCTTCTTCTCTTCTCTCTCTCTCTTATTGGTGACCACAATGTATGACTTATTATGCAGGGTGCTTGCGTGCAAAATGTGCTGGATTCTCTCATTCCGGCATTACTGGCGGATGAGAATCGAAAATTCATTTATGTTGAACAGGTTTAGTATTTGATATTGGCAATTCGTATGGAAAGTTTTGTGCTTTATACTTTGTGGTTATTTAGAGGGATCTCATACAAGGAAAATTGATGAAGTGGGGTTGATTGGACAGGCCTTCTTCCAGAGATGGTGGAGGGATCAGAGTCCTGCAACGCAGAAGATAGTCAGGCAACTAGTCGATGCCGGCCAACTAGAGTTCATGTATGGAGTTAATAGACCCAGACAGTACATTCTGAGCATTCTAAGAGTCAAGATATAGATAAGAAAGGAAATTGACTACCGACTAATGGTGTCAAATTTCTGTTTCGTTCAGTTCAGTAATGTTGTTGTTTAGGAAACTGTAACAAACATGTGATTTTTATTGGGATTATGGTTCTAAAGGGTATATATTATCTTGTCCTTTGATGTAGAAATGGGGGCTGGTGTATGCATGATGAGGCAGCAACTCATTACATTGACATGATAGATCAGACAACATTAGGTCACAGATACATCAAGGAGCAGTTCAATGTGACTCCAAGAATTGGTTGGCAGATTGATCCATTTGGACATTCTGCTGTTCAGGCCTACCTTTTGGGGGCAGAGGTATTATTTTCTAATGGATTGCTGAATATGTGTAATAGTTGGTGTATAAATTATATTCAATGGTTGATTATTTGCCAAAAAAAATGTGGATTCTTTGTCGACCATTTTGTTTTCAAAGCTCAATGTGTATGATTGAGGTGAAAATTTGAAGAGAAATGGCCGGTCTTTCTATAGCTACATGTCCCAATTTGGGACAACTGATACAAAGCATCTGTTGCAAATGGACTGACTCATGCTTTTTTGTTGGCTTAGCTTGGATTTGACTCTTTTTTCTTTGGACGCATTGACTATCAAGACAGAGCAAAACGGAAAGCTGAGAAGGCTCTTGAAGTTGTCTGGCAGGGTTCTAAGAGTTTGGGTTCTTCAGCACAGGTTAGTTGCAGTACTTTTTTAGTTCTCAAGCATTTTTATGACTGCCTATTTTATTGCCAGGGATTTAAATGGCAGTCTCTCTCTTTCTCTCACAGATATTTGCTGGTGCTTTCCCAGAGAATTATGAACCCCCAAGTGGTTTTTACTTTGAAGTAAATGATGATTCTGATATCGTGCAGGTATCTATACAGAAATAAGATAACTGGTTATTCAATATATGGTGAGTACAAGCAGATGATAATTTTCTTAAATAAACTGCAGGATGATATGAATTTGTTTGATTACAATGTTCAAGATCGTGTGAATGATTTTGTTGCTGCTGCTTTTTCACAGGCAAGTCATATTTTAGTTTTAGCTTTAATGCTACGAACTCCACTTGTTCTGAACTTTTGATGCTCATTGTGAACAATTTCATCTTTGTTGTCTTCCTACGAATCCAGATATAATTTTCTGTTGTAAAAATTTACTTGCATATTCAGTTGGGTATTTTTTTCTGATATAAAGAAGAAGAAATGCATGTAAATTTTGACTTGACATGATAAGTCAAAATATCTATCCTGACTAAGGGAAAGGAAAATCTGTATAGAGACACGATGGTAACAGTTGATTTGTCATTTTCTCAAAGGCATTTGCTACAATAGCTCATAATTTGTTGCTTAATTGTTTAGGTGATGTTTTATCAGAAAGAAGGAATTTTAATTCTTTGTTTCTTTGACAGGCTAATATTACTCGAACAAATCATGTCATGTGGACCATGGGAACAGATTTCAAGTATCAGTATGCTCGGACATGGTTTCGGAACATGGACAAGCTCATTCATTATGTGAATGAAGTCAGTCTCACTTTTAGTAAATCGGATTGGTCTATAACTCAAAGTCCTTGTGCTGAATGTCTGCTTTCTTTATAAATTGCACCAGCAAATCATCTATTAGTTGTTTCCCATTGTCATGATTTTTCAGATTGTTCAATGCGTTGATCTTTCAATGCACTTGTATGTAGGATGGCCGCGTCAATGCATTATATTCAACACCATCAATTTATACTGAGGCAAAATATGCTTCTAAGGAGTCCTGGCCTCTTAAAACTGATGATTATTTCCCGTGAGTCCAAGATTTGGAAGTTACCTTTTTATTGCTGGCTAACAACTTTCTTGGTTTGCTGCCTGTCATTAATCTGGGAGTTAATGCTGGTGCTCATCAGATATGCAGACCGCATTAATGCTTATTGGACTGGATATTTTACCAGCAGACCTGCAATTAAACACTATGTTAGAATCTTGAGTGGGTACTATTTGGTAGGTCATCTGCCGTTTTATCTTAATTGATAACTATGGTGCTGCTGCATATGCAGTATTTCAGTTCTTTGTTCCTAATTAGACTCCTACACATAATCAGGCAGCTAGGCAACTCGAATTTTTCAAAGGAAGAAATGAAGCTGGACCAAGCACTGACTCATTGGGTGATGCATTAGGGATTGCTCAACATCATGATGCTGTCACTGGAACAGAACAGCAACATGTGGCAAATGACTATGCCAAACGTCTATCAATAGGTTACAATGAGGTAAATTATACTCCAGATGATTGAAACTTTGATGTTTCTTTGATGGTTTGGAAGAACTCTCTTTCCAGATGATTGGTACTAACTTAAGAACTTTCAGGCTGAAGATGTAATTTCTACTTCACTCGCTTATATAGCACAATCATCATCAGAGTCTGGACTTAAATTACAACAGGTATCTATTGGAAGAGCTCTATCAATCTTTGCTGATTATTAACTTTATTTCTTCCCAAGATATAATTTTCATCAGCATCTTGTCCATTAAAACTAAGCTGCGAATGCTTTTTGCTCTAATTCTAACATATAAGAATCTACCTAATTTTTTACCTTTGTTCAAAAAAATCAATGCAGATACTAATCTAAATTGTGGCCTTTGGTTTTTGTCTGGTATGGGAATGCCTATCTGTTCCACAGACTTCTGTTTTTTGGACAGATATAAGACATATCTCAACAATTGTATTGAATTGTTTAGCTTCTGCCTTTGGAATTTATTTATTTGGTTTTTTTTACAAGGTTACATTTTTTCCTTGAAAGATCACTTAAAAAAATAAAATGTCTAACTGAAATCAATATTTTCTGATTGCTTTACAATATGCATGGTGTTTATGGAAGGATCTTCATTTTTGAAGTTTGAAGTTCATTAATCCTTATTACTAAACCAGGGAATGATTTCTTTTTTCCTTTTCCTCTCTCCTACAAGTAATACTTGTTTCCTTTTTGTTTCCGAGGTTGGTTAGACATTGTTGTTGTTTGTTCATCATGTGCGCTTTCTATTTGTGGTGATGACTTCATGCAAGAATATCTATTTACCATGGACTATCTCTGTTAGATCAAATCTAAGATAAACTATACCTTCTCCCTTTTTATTCTTGAGTATCAAGCTGATTGGTTTTGTATTAATTTGATTGTAACATGTCATATTCCTTCTTTTACCAGTGTCCACTTCTGAACATAAGTTATTGTCCTCCATCTGAAGTTAATTTATCTCCTGGGAAAAAATTAGTAAGTGAATCTTTCTAGAATGCTTTCTATCTTTTTGTATGAGTTTCTCTATTTCCCTTATTAGTAACTGGCATGAAATAGGCTATCTAAGATACTGTCTATTTGTAGGTGGTCATGATCTATAACTCCTTGGGGTGGAAAAGATCTGAGATTGTGAAAATTCCCGTGAGTATGCATTAGATATTTTATTTACCATCCTTACCTAGCTTTTTGCCCCATTTATTACTGGTAACTATTTCTCTTAGCTGGAAACAAATATCCTTTTAGTGTTATCTTTCAACTGGCATAGCTTTTCCATTGAACAAGTTTGCTTCTATTGCATTTTGAATTTTGACTTCGATGAGCTTGAAGACAAGTATGCACAAAGTATAAGTAAATAAATCATTTTGAAAACTGGATATCTAAAAATATGTGGGTACATGAAGTCAAGGAATATGGTAAAGAAGCTAATCTATCTAACCTGCAGTGCGAGCTTTGGGTTTGCAGGGAATATAGCCATTTCTTTTTCATTATGCTAACTGAATTGTCGAGAAGATTGTAGTTTGCTTGTTACAGATCTTTGTCTCCTTGTGCTGACCCTTAATACATTTATTTGAATATCTCTTGTATAAGAAATACTCAGTGGCACATGAGACTATCTTGAAGCAATTCACAGAAGGTCAACTGAGGCATGAAGAGCAAGTTTCTCTTACTTTATCCTGGACAGCGATTATCCTACGATATTTTTTTCTTGTCATGTTATACGCTATTACAGTTGGTCCATGTTTTTAACATTGCTCTGCTAACTGTCTCTCTCATTGTATATTCAAGCAAGACTTCCTTTTCAAAAGAATCTGCAACTTTGCGTGGTATCTACATGCATTATTGTATATGGACATCTTTTCTGTTTCTTTTTGCTTTTAGTCCTACATGGTTGTCAGGTTAGCAGTGAGTAACTTCTGATGTTGCAAAACATTAGGCAACTAAGTTTTCTGCTGTTTTTGAATTCCCAATCTTTTGTCATAAACTTGCCACAGGTTGTCAGTGCGAATGTCATTGTTCAAGATTCCACTGGAAAAGAAATCGAATCACAGATCCTTCCTGTAGTTGATGCTGCAATGGCCCTACGGGAATTTTATGCAACTGCAAATGTTGGAAAATCCCCTGTAGGAGGCCCCCTATATTGGCTTGCTTTTAAAGCGGAGGTTCCTCCTCTAGGCTTTAGCACATACACTGTCAGTAGTGGTAAAAGAGCAGGTTAACCATCTGATTGCGTCTCTTGAAAGTTTTTTGTGACTTGTTATTCAGCATATTAATCTCCAAATTTCTTCTTGTTAAATATTCCATTTTTTGTCACCTGTTGTAAGCGCAGCTACTACTTCAGTAAGGGAGAAGTTCTACAGATCTGATGGGAATCAAAATGATGCTATTGAAGTAGGGCCTGGGAATTTGAAGCTTGTATACTCTGGAAGTGATGGAAAACTGACTGGATATATTAATGGCAAAAACATGGTAAATATTTTTCTTTTATGTAATATATCTGCCCCTTATGCATACTACACTATGAAGGCACACCTAAATAGAGGGCAAGCTTTTGCTTTGCTATCATCCCTCTGTTTTCCCCGCTCTCCTTTCTACAAACCATCATGAATTTGTAAGAACAGCTGTATGCAAAGGATGTTGTGATTTTTACAACATTTTTTTCCTTTAATCATCTTCTTCAACTTTAAAATTGAGTTAAATTAACATCGATTTTACTAACTGATTTCTTTCTAACAAGGTCAAGTCCTCTCTAGAGCAATCTTATAGTTATTATGTTGGAGATGATGGTACTAAGGATGTTGCACCTGTGGTGGCTCAGGTATTATACCTTTTAACTTGTGTAGTTTCCTTAACTTGTTATAGTTGTCTTAAACTTTAATGTTTTTTTCCACATGAAAACTAGTTTTATCTTAAAGATCTGTTATTCTTTTTCTCCCCTATTTCTGTTTGTGTGTTGTCTTCAGCTCAAGATTATGCCAACAGTGCCTAACTGTTACTCTTGAATCTTGAAGGCTTCTGGAGCATATGTTTTCCGGCCTAACTCCACATTTCCCATCCAGTCTCAAGAAAAGGTACAAAAATCATGTCAAAAATTTAACCAATATGATCCCTCATTGCCTCTAATAAAATAAAGTTTTATTTTATTTTATTTATTTTTTTGATGTAACAGATACCAATTACAGTTCTTAGGGGACCGCTCTTTGATGAAGTTCATCAGAATGTAAATTCGTGGATATATCAGGTTATTGTGCAACTAATTGATATTTAAGCCTCTTATTCATGTTCCCTTATGTCCACTTCCCCCCCCCCTCTTCCTCCATCAGATTTCTTGTATCATGTAATGTCAAGAGCTCTAGAAGAATACCATGAGGAGCGTTATGACAGATTGTCTTATTCATCAATTCTTGCGCTCACTGACACTCATCTCCCTGCTCCTTAGTATCGTCTCTACAGTGGACACAATAAAGCACTATTGTTTTTCAGAGTTTTTATTTTGTCACTAGTGTATGCAACATGTCATTTGTCAGATTACACGAGTCTACAAGGAAAAGCAGCATGCTGAGGTTGAGTTCATTGTAAGTTGTCAATTTAGTGCATTTTTGGATAGAAATCTTTGGGGTATTTCAGTAGATGAAGTTTCAATTTCGGCTGTAGCTCCTAATCAAGATTTATTTATTCCAGGTTGGCCCCATACCCATTAATGATGGACTCGGCAAAGAGGTTGTAACACAACTTACCACCACCATCAAGAACAATAAAACATTCTATACGGATTCTAACGGTCGAGATTTCCTTGAACGGGTTTGTTACATAATCCTTTTCTTGTGCATCAAGTTTTATTTCCCCCAAGTATAGCACTTTTCTGACGTTTAATTTGTTTTTTTTTTTTGGGTAAAGCTTATTAGATGTTCAAAACTTTTGGATGTTAAAAGGTACATTTATATTGTTATATTAACTTTGTTTGCAGATTCGGGACTACAGATCTGACTGGAACCTTCAAGTGAACCAGCCTGTGGCAGGAAACTATTACCCAGTATGTTTGTGTTATACTTAATAAATGACTCTTAAACCTTGGGTTGCATGAGAAGTGTTTCACTATATCCAAAAATTCCTATCTTAAAACAAACTATTGAACAGCTCTTAACAGAAATATGGTGTCTGCTGTGGAAATAGAGCTAATATCTCACAGGAAAGTTTTTTATTCTTAATTTCAATCACCCTGCAGTTTCAAAGGTTTGACAAAAGCTGCTCTTAAATTTCGGAGTTGTTGGTAACATATGAGCTAATCAGTTGGTTAATGACGAATTACTAAAGCAAAACTTTCATCATGAGTAGCTCTTCTTAGTCACGTTTGTGTTGCTTTTGACATACCTAGGGGGTTGGAGAAACTTATGCACAAAGATGTTAATTTACAAGACCTGAACATTGCAGTTCCTTTTCTTCGGGGCTTAACTTGTCTTCTTCATTTTACAGTTAAGTCACCTGATTTGTCCCTAATTGTCAGAGTTTCTTGCTTTTTGATTCTGGGTCACTAGGTATGCCCATCGCCCTGTATCCTAGTGTGACTTGAATGAATACCCGTGGAATTCTGTTAGTGATTGTTGTCTGGAATTGAACTTTAGATACAGAAAATATTGCTTGAGTATGTCTTTGATAAAATAAAACAAATACTGCACGAGTATGTGGGTATCTTGGAGATTTTCTTTTACTTATTTCTATTCTATCATTTCGATTTTTCTGTTTTACCCAACAGTCAAGCCAGTTACATGAAAACTTCGGATTGGAAATTTTGTACTTCTCAATTAAAGTAATTAAGAAGGATTAACTGAAAACCAGAGTGGGAAGGGTGTAGGGAGAGGGGCGAGGGTTAAAAAAATAAAAATTGATATAGTAACCCGACTAGTAGTTACAGGCAGATAATCCATTTTAAGTGCAACCCGACTAGTATCTATATTTCCTATATTTCTTGTTTGGGACAGGGTGATAATCCATTTTAAGTGTGACTTTTAAGGATTGGTGATGAAAAGAGTATCCACTTCAATGATTTTTTCCTACGCTAAGCAACTTTTTTCTTCTCTTACCTTAGATATGCCATGACCTTTTAACTTGTATATTTAGCTGCACCATTTATTGCAGTTTTCAGGTCAATTAGAGAGGGAAGGTTTAAGGTTATATATAGGATATTGGTTATGCACTAGTAAATGGATTCAAACAGTGGCTTTTTCATCTTTCAGATCAATCTTGGAATTTATATGAAAGATAAGGACACCGAGTTCTCAATCTTGGTTGATAGATCTGTTGGAGGATCTAGCATTTTTGATGGGCAATTGGAACTGATGCTTCACAGGTTTACTCCATGTTTTTGCATCCTCTTCCCCTGCTCTAAGTCTTGCCATTTCTTTTCCTCCTGGTGTTCTGATTATGGGGTTAATTTAATAAAGTTAATGTTAGGGTGACTTGTGCACTTTTATTTATTTGTGGGTTACAGGAGACTGCTTGTTGATGATAGTAGAGGCGTTGCAGAGGCATTAAATGAAACAGTCTGTATTCCTAGTGCATGCAAAGGGTTAACTGTAAGATAGCAAACACTATCCAATTCCTTGTTCTCTAGTTGTTTTATATAATTGTTTCTGCTTGCTATTGCTACTTTGACAAATGGAGCTAGTGTGGTTGTAATCAGAATTTGGCATCCAAAAAATCCTAGTTTATCTTAATTCTTCGCTTCTAGTATGTGTTTCTAATTTCCAGAATGCATGAGTTCTAAAACAACTGGTGATTTATGGTAAAGGTTTTATATAATGTAAAGAAGCGATAATGAAATTCTTCTCATTTCATAAGTTCACATAATTCTGTTAGTGCTAATAACACGTCTCTCAGGTTCAAGGCAAGTTCTATTTTAGGATTGATCCACTTGGGGAGGGAGCTAAGTGGCGTCGATCATTTGGACAGGAGATATACTCTCCACTTCTTCTAGCCTTCAGCGAGCAGGTATGGGAAAGACCTCAAGCGATCTTATTGCCATTGTGTGAATATTACTATATTCTAACATGATTTTCATATAACACAGGACGGAGATGAGATGACCAATTTTAAAGTTCCAACCTTTACAGGAATTGATCCTTCCTATAGTTTACCTGATAATGTGGCATTGATAACTCTCCAGGTATGTTTTGGAATCTAACACGGTACCCTTCAAGCTCCTTCGAATTTTACCATCTTCTTGTCCAAATTAATGAGTTCATCATATTTTTGTCCTTGTGGTTTATAGGAGCTTGCAAATGGAGAAGTTTTAATTCGCTTGGCTCATTTATACGAGGTTCTTTTTTCTTTTACATTTATATAGATATTGTTTCATTTTTCTGTTGTGGCCATGTTATGTCTTAAGCCACCAACCATACTACAGTGGTTGAAATTTAATGCTCCACACACTTACTTTGTCTCTACTAGGTTGGAGAAGACAAGGACCTATCAGTACCAGCAAGGGTGGAGTTGAAAAAGTTATTTCCCAATAAACAGGTTGAGCACGCTGCTTTGGATTCTCATCACTTATATGAGTAAAACTTTGCATTGGTTAATCACTAATCGTTCCTCATGAACTTCCTCCAGATTATTCAAAATACCGAAACGAGCTTATCTGCTAACCAGAAGAGGGAAGACATGGAAAAGAAAAGACTAGTTTGGTCAGCAGAAGGTTCAAATCATAAATCCCAAAGGGTTTCAAGAGGGGGACCTGTTGATCCCATTAAGTTGGTGGTCGAGCTAGCTCCAATGGAAATCCGCACCTTCTTGATCAACTTCAGCAAAAAGTTGTCAACTCTGTGAACTGCAGCAAGGTAAAGAAACTCTGGTAATGTCCCATTTTAACAACGCTGAATTGTTTTTCCTTCGCATTGATCTTTGAATTGGTTGGCATCTTATTTAGGTACAAAAAAGCATGATGATCAGAGTGTATTCTAGTGTTTTGCTTCAATAAAGACTGTTGGGAAAATGTATGGGAATAAGCGGCAACCCAAGACTCTCTTGAAGTTTTGCTGGAATCAGTCAGCAATAATGAAGCGAAGAGGCAAATTGTGCTGCTGCTTTCTTTTTGGGTCTTTTGTTCCTTCTTTTGTGAAGTTGTCATCAGAATAATAGCGCATTAGGAATAGGGTTAATTCCACTTTGTCCCCTCAAACTTTGGGCGATTACCCACTTCAGTCCCTTAACTTCAAAATGGGACACTTAAATCCCTAAACTTATGAATTGCTCCCAGTTAAGGAAAATTGTTGACAGAATCCTAATTGCCGTTGGTGGTCGAAGTGCGTGGCAAACACTCTCCGTTAATGAAGATGGGGGAATATTGTTACTGAAAATGATAAGGACATAAACGTAAATTTGGGTCGTAAATTAAGGACAAACAAAGACAAATTCCAGAGAAGGGAAAGTGCGAAACAGTCAGAGAGTGGTCGTTTCTTTCCTCTGTCTTGGATGAAAAAATAGAGAGGAGGGGTAAAACCAAAGTGTGTAAAAATCCGAATGATTGTTGCTGAAAAACACTGAAGATTGCAAGAATGGGAAGAAAGCGAGTCAATGTGAGAGAAAAAGCGTCCGCGTCCGCAGCGAAACAATGGAAAGCAAAAGAGAAGACAAGTACTGGTATGAGAAATATATTTTAGAGTTTTTTGTGTACTTTAATTGAATTTAATAATTGGAATTTGGGTAAGAATTTACGGTAGCAGTAGAAAAACGTTTTAAAGCCATAAGGATTGTTGAAAAGTTAGGGTTTTGGATGGTTGTGGAATGCATGTCCAAGGCATTATATATTTTTGATGGTACTGTTAGTGGGTCTGCATATTTTACTGAAAAGTGAGTGTTGTGGGAACCCTAATGTTCCTTCTGTTGAAGACATTGTGGTCCCAAATGCTAAAAATGTTGTTAATAATTAATGGGTTAATTATTAAAGATTTATTTTTTTATTTAACCAGAGTGTGGTCCAAATGACATTTTGCCCAACTCATTTTCCTTGGCGATACACCATCAGGGTGAATTCAGAAGCTCTCCCAGCAAAGAATACGTGGGAGGAAGGGTAGACTATATAGACAACTGTAATGCTGAAAAATGGTCACTACAAGTGCTTGATGAATGTGCAGTAAGACTAGGATACCCGAAAGATGCTCGTTTTGGGTGGTATGGTAGGATTCCTGGTATGCCGCTTGAGACTGGACTATATTTTTGCATGTGTGATTGGGATTGTGATCTTCTAGTAAACACATTGCCACTGAATAGAGTGGCAGAGGTTTATCTACAAGTTGGCACTGATGATAATCCAGTGAGGTTTCAAACTCAAAAAACAGAGTATGTAGACATGCCTGAAGGCCACAAAACTTCTGCTAAGCAGGATACAAAAGATAAAGAAACATCTGAAATGGACAGTGACATAGCAATACTGGAAGAAGTTGACTTCAATGATATGGACAACAGAAGGAAAAATGTGGCTGATGACAACAGTAATGAAGTTGCTACAAACAGTCATGAGAATTTTGATTCCAAAAGTCCTAATTTGCAACAAGAAGAGGACAACAAGAGAGATAATGCAGGGGAAGAAGCACAAATGGCAACTGATAATGATATCCAAGCTGATGAGACTGATGTGCAGGCTGATAATAATGTGCAGGCTAATGATGATATGCAGGCTGACGACAAGTTCGATGATCCAGATTATACGGGGCAAGTTGAGGAGGATGTTTTATTTGATGAAGCCTTAAAGATTGGACAACAATTTGGCGTGCATAAAGGAGCTCCTGAAGTTGGACCTTCTACCAGCAAAGACAGAAGAAAGAAGAGAGCAAGTAGGGAAGGAGAAGCTGTTGACGAAGTAAATATTTGTGATGAGCCTGACATGGTTAATGTGGAGGATATGCAGTCAGAATATGAAACAGATTGTTCTAGAGAGTTGAAGAGTGAGAGTGAATCCGAAAACGAAGATGGTCGTAAGAGAAATAAGAAGCCTAAATTTTCAGTTTTTAATGAGAAAACTGAAATGAGAAGTCCAAGATTTAAGGTAGGCCAGAGGTTTTCATCAGTTGTTATTTTTAGGTTGGCTGTTAGAATCCAGGCTATTATGGAGGGAAGGGATGTCCAATTCATAAAAAATGACACATATAGGGTACGGGTGAAATGCAGAGGCTGTGAATGGCAAATTTTTGGCTAAAAAATGCAAGGTGAAAACACTTTCCAGATCAAGACACTTAGCAAGGAGCACACCTGTGGACGTGTCTTCCATAATAGAAACATGACATCAAAACTAGCTACCAGGTTGTTTGTAGATGAGGTGAGAAAAACACCATCCATGACAGTCCAGGAGCTCATGACTAGGGTGACTGAAGAATTAAATGTAGATTTCAGTCTTAAACAAGGCTATAGGACAATGAAAAAAGTAAGAGACATAATTGAAGGCAGTCATGAAAAACAGTATGCATTGTTAGAGGACTTCTGTGGTGAATTGAGGAGAGCAAATCCTGGATCGACAGTGTTCGTTGAGACGGATGAGGATGAGGATGGGATTGTCAGATTCAAAAGGCTTTACATGTGCTTAGAGCCATTGAAGAGAGGATTTCTAAAGGGCTGTAGGCATTGGATTGGGTTGGATGGGTGCTTCTTAAAGGATACATATGGTGGACAACTACTTACAGCCGTGGGTATGGATGGGGATAATAAAATGTTTCCACTAGCTTTGTCAGTTGTTAGAGTGGAAAATTATGACAATTGGAGCTGGTTTTTGGGATTGCTTGTACAAGATTTGAAAATATCAGATTCCAGTAATTGGTGTGTCATGACTGACAAGCAAAAGGTATGATAAATTGTATTAGCACTTATTTATACAGCAACTTTTTATTTAATAACTCAGGTACAACTTTTTATTTAAGCCAAGTTGTATTCAAACGTGTACAGGGACTAGTTCAGGCAGTTAGAGACAAAATGCCACAAGCTGAGCACAGGTGTTGTGTGCAACATCTATACACCAATTTCAAACAGATTCATAGAGGCCTGGCCTTAAAAGAAAGACTTTGGAAATGCGCAAAAGCTTCTTATGTTACCCACTGGAAAGTCGAAATGGAACAGTTGGGGCAAGAATCTGCAGCTGCGCATTCTTGGCTTGATGAAAAAGATCCCAAAACTTGGTGTAGAGCCCATTTTAGATGTGGATTGGATTGTGATATTTTGGTGAATAATATGTGTGAGTCCTTTAATGCAGTAATTTTAAAGGCCAGGTCACTACCAATCATATCCATGCTGCAGACCATTTATTTGTACCTGCTGAAGAGGATGGAGAGGAACAGGGAAGCAATGTCCAAGCACGAAGGTTAAGATACATTTTATTTATTTACTAGTATTAAGGTCAGTTCATAATTTCTTTGAGAAATTTATGACCAATTTATTGTTTTCATTTTGTATTCAGGTCTTCTTTGTCCAGCAATATTTGAGATATTGGAAAAGGCTAAGCAAGAGCAGTGTATGTGCATAGCGTCATATGCTGGGACAATGAAGTATCAGATAAGCTGTCCATTTGGGGAGCAGTATATTGTTGACATGGCTGCCAAAACCTGTTCATGTAGAAAGTGGCAATTAAGGGGAATACCATGTGGCCATGCTGTAGCTGCCATCAACAGGAGACATGAAGCACCAGAGAAGCATGTTTCCAACACCTACTTGAAGATCACGTATCTACAAAGTTATGAACCTGTACTTAATCCAATCAATGGTCCTAATTTGTGGGAGCACATAGACCTTCCAGCAATGAAGCCTCCGACTTATAGAAGATTTGCTGGAAGGCCAAAGAAAATGAGAAAAAAGGCTTCAGAAGAAGACAGACGGGACAGCTGTGTCAATCCAACTAAACCTCACAAGGTTAGCAAGGTTGGCACCATGATGAGCTGCAGCCGCTGCAAAAAATACGGACATAACAAAAGAGGATGTCCGGATAAAAATAAGCAAACCACTGAGGGGACAACTACAAGTTCAGCAAAGGAGAACAGTGATATTGGAGATACAGGCCCATCTATGCAGCCAAGTACTAACGAGGCTTGTCCAAGTGATGTGACCGTTGACATACTTGGAGTAAGTACGCAACAGAGTCACACAGGTCCATCTCAAAATTTGGATGCCAATCAGCCAAAACAAGGGGCACAAGAACCAGTGACAAAGAAAGGAAGAAAATGCTCATTTTGTCGTAAGCATGGTCACTCAAAGAATAGTTGTAAGTTGAGGCAATGGACCTTTAGGAGCTCACTGGACATGACTGGAGACTTGGGATTCAAAACTGTAAAAATACGGTCTGATGATCTGGAAAACCCATATAATCATGCTCAAAATAGTTCTGGGCATGTGGAAAAGAGTCCTACAACAACTCATGTAAGTGGTCTCCATACATCAGGTCTTTATTTATGGGTGTCATGTCTTATTGATTCATGTTATGTGCTTGTTTGCAGTTAAGCTCCAAAGCTGATGGTCGCAAACTTTATTCCCACAGCCACGGAGTAACGATGAGAGCACCACACTCATACGTGGACTTGGGGACAGCCTCTCATTCCAGCAGTGGACTTAAGCCAGCACAATTCACATGGCAAGGCAATTTGTGTGTTAACCTGTCTACATTACAGACAGCTGCGGGACATGCGAAGGAGTCACTTGGAATTGAAAATGTGCAGCTCCATGGGGATGGAAACCAATCTGTTAAGTTGGGAAAATTGCAGCAATAGGCCAAATAGCCTTCAAGCATGAACTAACTGATGCTGGACAAACCAACTCAAGAATTGTACAGGCATATAGCCTTTTTTATTTTGCAGATACAATCAAATTGGGCAGTAAAAGCCTCTGTTTTGCTAGTCCAGATGTGGCGAACTTTTGTTCAACTCATATAGTCCATTGGAACTAAGAATTTTTTTGTTAATATGGAATTTTTGTTAGCCTCTGTTTTTGGTAGCCTCTGTTGTGGAACTCATATAGCCTTTGTCTTGCTAGTCCAGATGGGTGAAATTCAGAGGCTGTTAATGTGGAATTTTTGTCATTCCTGGTATTGCTATTATGTATTGGATGATTTGTTGAATGATCAAAGGTTTTTGCTGAAAATTTTATGTTCTGAGTTGATTGCTGTTGTTAATGTGACATAGATTACTTGCGATAAACTTTACAAATTGGGACACTAAAATCCCTAAACAACAAATTCTGATTACATAGCAGGTCCAACGTTCACAATTATGGGACATAGCAGGTCCACTATATCCCTAAATTTGATACAATACATTTAAAACCCATCTACCACCACTCAGGTCATTTCACAAATACATTCATCAGACAAAGCTTTCACCAGTCACAAAAATTCAAAACAATGTGGTACATGTTCACAAGCAAGATGGTTAAAATCCCGACTGTATAATAACGCTAAAACCCGCAAGCGGGATTCTGTATTTTTCCTACTTCAACGTTACCTCGCATGCGGGTTAATGTTATATTTTATGGCGAGAAGAAAAAATTGGTAATTAGGCTTTTTGGGCATTATAAGTAAATATTTAAATTAATGACCATTAAAAAAAAGGGTTGTATAAATTGGCAGTTAAGTTTTCAAAATGAATTTGGACGAATTTGTAAAAAGTTAGAAGAAATAGGTTGTAAACGAGTAATTGGGTTGCCAAACTCGTTTTCTGACTTGTCCATTGAACTACATTTACTCATATCGCCCAAGAATAGATGGGTATGGGAATCATAAAATTTTACTTATGGATATAAATAATTGGGTAACGCAACCGACCCAATTAACCCATCTACCACCACTCAGGTTATTTCACAAATACATTCATCAGAAAAAGCTTTCCACCTGTCACAAAAATTCAAAGCAATGTGGTACATGTTTACAAGCAAGCAGGTTAACATCCCGTCTGCATAAGAACGCTGAAACCCCCAAGCGGCATTCTGTTCCTTTCCTATTTCAACGTAAGATCGCAGGTGGGTTAATGTTATATTTGATGGCGAGAAGAAAAAATTGCTAATTAGGCTTTTTGGGCATTATAAGTAAATAATTAAATTAATGACAGTTAAAAAAAAGGGTTGTATAAATTGGCAGTTAAGTTTTCAAAATGAATTTAGACGAATTTGTAAAAAATTAGAATAAATGGGTTGTAAACGAGCAATTGGGTTGTCAAACTCGTTTTCTGACTTGTCCATTGAACTACATTTACCCATACCGCCCAGGAATAGATGGGTATTGGAATCATAAAATTTTTCTTATGGATAAAAATAATTGGTTAACGCAACCGACCCAATTAACCCATCTACCACCACTCAGGTCATTTCACAAATACATTCATCAGACAAAGCTTTCGTCCTGTCACAAAAATTCAAAGCAATGTGGTACTTGTTCACAAGCAAGCAGGTTAAAATCTCGCATGCGGGTTAATGTAATATTTGATGGCGAGAAGAAAAAATTGGTAATTAAGCTTTTTGGGCATTATAAGTAAATATTTAAATTAATGACAGTTAAAAAAAAAGGGTTGTATAAATTGGCAGTTAAGTTTTCAAAATTAATTTAGACGAATTTGTAAAAAGTTAGAATAAATAGGTTGTAAACGAGCAATTGGGTTGTCAAACTCGTTTTTTGACATTTCCATTGAACTACATTTACCCATACCGGCCATGAATAGATGGGTATGCGAATCTTAAAATTTTACTTATGGATATAAATAATTGGGTAACGCGACCGACCCAATTAACCCATCTACCACCACTCAGGTCATTTCACAAATACATTCATCAGACAAAACTTTCACCTGTCACAAAAATTCAAAGAATGTGGCACATGTTCACAAGCAAGATGGTTAACATCCCGACAGCATAAAACGCTGAAACCCGCAAGCGGGATTCTGAAAGTGCTGGTAATTACATAGTCAGCAAAAGCAAGAATTTCCTTCCTGCACCACTCAAAAGGTCCACTACTTAGCAATGACAGACAAAGGTGGTCCCATATTTGAGCAAACAAAACGGGCAGTCCGGCATAAGCGGTTGCTTCTTCTACAACTCATTTTGGACCTTCTCCCCCAGATTTGAACAAAAACAACCACATGACAATGGCAACCCAGTGGATAATCAAGTACATCCTTAGCTTCCTTACTTTCGATTGTTGGCACCTTGAATTTTCTTTCAACCTATCCAACTCAGCTTCCATCTTGTTCATCGACCTTAGCAGTCCAGGTATTATTTCTTTTGACTTTTGACACATCTCAGGATCAACCCAATCCCAGTATATGCAGCCTCCTTGTTCCTAGTTTGACAAGAACATTATGTTTGCAGACAAGATTAGGTGGCTGCAATTCATACAAACCCAAAATAAAAAACAAGTATAAACACAAAACCCTAATTTCCCTTACTCTGTACTTGGCACATCGACAAAACCTTCTTCCTGGGTTCATGGCAGTCCATGATGTCATCATCAATGTTTGCTTTCCACAATCACAAAATTGCCTCACCATTTCTCTTTGTTTGTTGAACCATGCGTTGGGTTCTCCTTTTCTTCTTCCTGCCCTGTGGATAGCAGAATGACAGCTTGGGTCTCTCAGCATACCGACCTGAAGTGCCCTTTTATGATTTGGATCGGGTCTACATTATCCATCTGAAGTGGGTAGCATGGAGGGAAACTTTCCCTCCATATTTCACCATTTTTTTTTAATCTATATATGTGATTTTTTGTGAATTTTCATTGTTGCCCTCAGTCAAAGGACAGTGTTTGCCACGCTCTTCAACCACCAACGGCAATCAGGATTCTGTCAACAATTTTCCTTAACTGGGAGCAATTCATAAGTTTAGGGATTTAAGTGTCCCATTTTGAAGTTAAGGGACTGAAGTGGGTAATCGCCCAAAGTTTGAGCGGACAAAGTGGAATTAACCCTTAGGAATAATTTAGGTCCCATCCCATGTTTAAGATGTACTATATGCAGAAATCAGCTGATATAGATTTGCACCATGTTTTAATTTATGAATGATTATGCGATAATTGTCTGAACCGTTTGGCTAATTATAATCAGTAAGGCAAAGTTTTCATCAACCTTGGAATAAATTTAGGTAAAAAGCAACATGGATCCGGAAAAAATATTTGAAATTGTGTTTTTAAATATAGAGAAAAAAAAAATTGTCCTTGGTTTAATGTGTACATGTACTGATTGAAATGATGTATCCTCTAAAGGTTTCTTTAATATCATTTTTAACTCTTGCACCATATTTTGTTCAATCTTGAAAGTGAAAAAAGGTAATGATTAAACTAAGCAGGGATGAAAAATTTATTTTGTGAATGTGAGGGACGAAACAATTTATTTTGTGAAATGTAAAGGATTATAGATGGATTATATAAATTTTGATTTGACAATTTTACCTCTAAAAATAATCACATGCAAGGCACGTGATGAATTTCGATCAAAAATTAGTCAGAAATCTAGGTAGGGATCAAATTTGATTAATATGAATTTGTAAGGGACGTAAAATTACATTTTTAAAAATAAAGGATGAAAAAAATCATTTCACAAAATCCCAAGAACAAAAAAAAAGGGTGAGATTTCCCAAAAAATCGAGTCAATTAGATTAATAAAAAGTACCATTTAAGTTGAGCTCGATTTTCTTTTTTGGGCAAATCGCCAATTTGGTCCCTAAACTTTTTCACTTGAACCAATTTAGTCCTTCACGGTTTTTTTTCACCAATTTAATCCTCAAACAATTTTATCGTGTCCAATGTAGGACTTTTTGGGCGGCGCCACCACATTTTATGTATTTTCCACGGCGGACCAGGGGTATAATTGGAATGACAGGTATAATTGTCTAAACACCTTGACTAGAATGGCAGCTCTGTCACGATAAGCAAAAGAAACCCCTGCAAATCGACTTCTTCAGAGCTCATAGGAATTAGGGCAGAAACTTTGACAAGCAGAAACTGAGGGAGAGACTTCGACAAGCAGGTGAAATGCAATCAAGCAGAAATTTCGACAACTCCGCCTCAACTTTATGTAGCAGCCAACACTCAAATCTGGATAGCCGAGTAAGTGGGCATTCGACAGGGGTGAAGGGAGAGAAGGTAGAATTCTACAATGGGAATGAAGCAGTAATTTGCCATTGCCGTGAAGAATGTAGAATTGTAACTTCATGGACATTGGCGAACCCAGGCAGAAGATTTCATGGATGCATAAATTATGGGGTAATTTTTACAATTAATCACGACATATCACTTGTATATTTTGATGTATTATATAATTTACTACAACTAATAGCTGGAATTAATGGTTATTGTAGACCCCAAAAGCCTGCAATTATTTTCTGTGGTATGATCCACCTATGCAACAGATGACAAAAAATATGATGGCGAAAATTTTGAAGAATTTGAGGAAAGCTGAGGAAGAAAATAATGTCATGAAAATTGAAATGTGTAAGCTTGAAGAAGAGAACAAGGTGCTCAAAAGTGAAATTAGGAAGTTGAAAGCAGCAAAGAAGTGGCTAATGCTGGTCGTGATTTGCATATGTATTATGGTTAATGCTGTACTATTACCCAGTGGCAATGAAAGGAATGACAACTTAAAAATGCTACATTAGATCTTCCTGTATGAAGTTAGAAGTTGAGTAATTGCTTCATGTAATTTGAATGTTGTAATGTTGGAATGTAGACATGGGTGTATGGAACATGTTTATGCATGAAAATGGAACATTGTCTCGAATGATCTTTTTGTAAATTAATCGAGAGATTTTGTCAGTTGTTGCTGGGCACATTTACTGAAACGAAATCGCTATAAAATGATTGAGAGATTTTGTCAGTTGTTGGGCATATTACCTTGAAAGATGTCTTTGTTAAAATTTAACAGAAATTCACCTCAAGTTGTATAAAAAATTTGACAGCATTTCATCCTATATTTCAATAATCCCTACTCGCACAAATACCCCATATAAACTGCTAAACAACAAGAATTCAGTCAAAGTAAATGGTATAGGAAGAGTGCGAATACAAGTTCATAGTCATCAACATAGGTGCGACATTCCAATATAGCAGGCTGAATTTTACTTCAGCGTTGAATTCGTTTTAGACAAAATGCAGCCCATCAAATGTACAAAACAGAATCGTATTGTTAATCCAATTATATCCATTGACAAAACAGAAGCTCTTAATGTACAAAACGGAGCATATCCCACAAAATAGAAGTCTGCTGTATTCCCAAGCTCCATTAACTTGACTGGGCGACATTATCATCTTCTTCATCCAACAGCCTATGTGCCTACACAAATAAAGGCACATGTCAAAAGCCATAAACAGTCTCGTTTTAAGTCGTCAAAATCATTATCCAACAAATGTGCAAGACATGCTGTTTGTTTCTGTTTGAATTACTTGAACTTACTTTCTCCTTTTTCCTAGTCATTTTTCCCTTTGATGGTGGGAATGGACCAAAAACAGTCATAGCAGCCTTTCTTTTTCTCCATGCTTGAGCTTGCCAGGTTGCACATGTTTGCCGGTTATGTCCTAAGCCATGACAGAAGGAACACTTGGTGAATTTCTTTTGCACTTCAGGTAGTTCTTCTTGACCTGATGGCTGTAAATCAATAACCTCTTGTTCATCTATAACAGCCTGTGCTTTATCACCTGACCATGAAATAAATTAAAACATGTAACAAGTACAAGAATAAAATTATCATGAACTACATGGAAAAATCCTAAATTGCTGACCACTTGGAACATCTGGCATTGAGCTAGATTCCAGAGGTACTTCAGTTGGCTCCTTCCCGAACACTTGATCTGTACACATCAAAGCATCATTAGTTAAGTATTACACCATAAATCAGTGGATGAGGGATAGGTAAAATTACCAGATTTTTGGGGCAATTCACATGGTGCGTTCTCCCTTGTTCTGAGATTTTGTGGACAAGTTCTCTTGTTATGGCCAAGTGCCTTGCATTTGCTACACTTGTTGGAGTTGGACGGTGGTGGCCTTTTATTGGTAGATGCACCAAGTTCATTAGAAGGTACCAGCAGTGGACACTTTCTCACTGTATGCCCCTTTTGATAGCATTTTGTACATGTCATTCTAACAAGGCCAGATCTAGAAAGTTTGGTAACCCCCTTCGAATTAGGCCTAGGCTCTTCTGGTTCCCTTCTTCTTACTTTTTTTGGCCGACCAGGTAACTTCAACTTCAAGGGTGGTAAGACAGGATCTTTATCCGATTGCACCCAAACATTTGGCCCACTCAAAGGAGCAATTGCTGGCTCATAAGCCTTCAAGTAATTGTCTCGCGAATAGTAATGATGAACAAGGCTTTCTGGCTCTTGACCTATTAAAGAAATACAACAAATCACATGGCAGCATGGCAATCCAGTCAACTCCCATCTCCTGCAACTACAAGTCTGCTGCTTTAAGTCCACCACATGTTTGCCTCCATACATATGTGTAACCTCAAATTTATCTTGATCAGACCATCTCGCGATGTTTGCAGCTGCTTCTGTTTTTGCCTTCTCCAGTTTCTTTTGAATTTTTGGACAGATCTTATCACTCCTCTTCTTCATCCACTCCCTTTTTGTACGAAGCCTTTCCATTAGATAGATTCTGATAGTCTCAAGCATTCCAAGGATTGGTTTTTCCCTTGCATCCATTATGACCGAATTAAAGCTTTCACATAAATTATTAAGGAGAATGTCACACTTGGCAGCCACTCGAAAATGTGATCTTGACCAGTGATAGGGAGAGGTGTTGTCATTTAACCACTTCCAAGCAGCTACATCATAATCCCTTAAACACTCCATATGATTTTCGAACATCCTCATGTATGATGACCTTGCACATGTCCAAAATCTTTCCTTCAATGCTTCACCCGGATGATTTTTTTTTGAAATTGTTGTGCAAGTGCCTTACACAATGTCTGTGCTCAACATTTGGAATGACTTCCTGAATTGCAGATCCTAAACCCTGCAAAATAGACAAATGCAAATTCAGCACAATCAGTAAGCATTCATATATATGTAATAAACATATATAAACAATGTCAGTTGATCTTATTCACCTTCTGTCTATCACTTATGAAGCTCCAATTTCTTTGATCATTGATGGATAGGTCATATTTCAAGAATTCAATAAACCATTTCCACGACCTCTTATTTTCTGCTTCAACTACTGCATATGCAACTGGATAAACACAGTCATTTGGATCTATCCCAACTGCAGTTAATAACACACCCGGATGTGGACCTCTCAAGTGGCAGCCATCAACTCCAATTATCTTCCTACAACCAGATTTAAATCCTCTCTTCAGTGCCTCGAAGCAAATGTAAAGTCTCTGAAATCTTTGTTTTCCAGAATCCTTATCTAATGTAGTTTCCATGAACACTGTAGAACCAGGATTTGCCTTCATTAGTTCCTCACAATAATCCCACAATCTGTTGTACTGATCTTTGTAGCTCCCATGGATCAAAATTTTTGCCTTCATGAATGTCTTATAAACTTGAGGTTTAGTT